TGAAGCAGAATTTTTTTCTGAACTCTTCCACAGATGTGTGGCTTGACGCAAACCTGTTTCTGAGCTCTACAGGCAGTTATTTTGACCTCAGGGCTTGGTTTTTGCTCTGATATGCATTATCAGCTGTTAGACCTTTTATTAAGACGGGTGTACCTTTCCAAATCATACGCATTCAATTGAATTTGCCACAGGTTAACTTCACTTGAAGTGTAGTAATATCTACAAGCAAAATGAATGCTCCTGAGCTAAATTTCAACTGTCCCAGAATCATTTGGAATCATTTTAGTTTTTTATTTTTAAAAGATTTGCAAAGATGTTAATAACCTGTTTTTTTGCTTGACAATTATGGTGTATGGAGTGTATATTGTTGTGGAAAAAAAACTATTTTAAAGCAGTTTAACATAAGGCAGCAACAAAACAAAATATGAAAAAAATGAAGGGGTATGAATACATTCGCAAGGCACTGTATATATTTAAAGTTTATTTGATTTTAATTTTTGTTTATTATTATATTATATTATATTTATTTTAGTTTAGTTTAGTTAAAAAAATTTTAAACACGTATTTTTTATAAACTTGTTTTGTGTAATCATTTCATATTCTATTTCAAATTTTATTTTTTATTTTTGAATGTTTTTGATTTTTGTGTATTTTTATATTAAATTAAAACAATTTTTTTAATTTTTTTTTTTTTTAAAGCATTAACAAGCACACATTTAAAAAGCGAGTCCCCCCACTTATTCTAAACATACTGGCTTATCTGCCCGTTTCTTGAAACTCTTTGACCTTTAAAACATGTCAGCATTCATCACTGTCCATGTCCTTCTTTAATTGGCTGTTTTCATCAGGTTCAGGCTGTGAGTTTTTTTAGCCTCACTGAACGGTTGGGCAGCTGTTGACATGGAGCTGTCTTTCATTTCATATTACCTGTCTTCCTCATACAGCTGTCTCACAGCCTGCGGGCGAGCTTTGTTCCCTCATGGCACCTCTCGCGACTCACTGTAGATCTCTGAGCCTAAACTCACAGCTGTGTAAGATTCACAGGTGTGTGTAAGGTAAGCAGCAGTGTTGATACTTGAGACGGTCACACTTATTGCCCTTTAACCTCACTGATTTTACAGCGTAGGCCATGTACACTTTAGGCCGGAGTGAGAAATTTGGGTGCAGACGGGCCAGTGATTGAGCAAGTTGAGCGCTGTTGACTATGGCAGCGCTGCAGGTTTGTGTTGGAGCCGTTGTCTGGATCCTTCAGGCTTAGACAAACAGAGTAACACTCTTTGACTACCCGTTCACATCTAAACTCTCCTCCGGTGAAAACATTTCCTCAGCTATGCATCAAAGAGTTTGATCAAGCAGTGCAGGAATGAAGTAATCTGAACCTCCACTTTATTCCTCCACGTTTAACATTCGACTTCACACTCGATGCATATTTTTAACTGAAACTACAGTAAGGCTTTTATCTTATTTTATTTTCATCTTTTAGACAATCTTTTAGTCATCTTCATTTGATTGATCCTGATATTGATTCTACAGATCCCAATCTTTAACTCTATGCCTACAGTATTTTCAGCAACTGTGTGAAAAGAAATCATGTTTTACCATAGTTGTGACCAGTGTAGTTTGATTCACGAGTCGACTACATGCAAAAATTCATAAAGAATGGTCTTGGTTCTTCTGTGTTCCAAATGACATGTTTCCATTATAGGGTTATGTCAGTGGAGATAGTAGAAATATCTGTGGGAAATCTTTTCATGTGCTTTTCTATAGGTTGTGACTGTTGTTAAACTTTTTTGTTGTTGTTTTTTTTAGTATTATTTATTTATTTTGGGTTTATGCATGTATATTTCTCATCTTTGGAGTTGTTTCTGTAGTTTATTTGAAGCAAAACTCATGTCTCACAGTATTTTAAAGACTTGCTGTTAAATGGATTGTATTTCTGTTCTGTGACATTATATTCTGACGTTAGGAAATGTCTTTGCTGTCACTTTTAATCAATTTCATGCACCCTTGATTAAAAGTATTATTTTCTTTTTTTCTTCTTTTTTTTCTTCTTGAACAGTACTGTATGTTTAATGCAGAAATGCAAGAAGTGAACTTCCAAATGTAAATTGGAAAAAAAAAGAATATGCAAGCAAAATAGACCTTAAACTAAAATATACCCAAATAGGGAATTGACACCTTGTGAATCATAACTGGCTAAAAACAAATCTGAATCTGCATCTGTATCTGTCAGTGCTGTCAGTTTAATGATTAATTATTTAAAAAGGCATTTATTGTACATTGCCCCCTGATCTGTATGTGAATTCAATAAGGAATTTTACTACCGTTGGCCTTGCTTTTAAAGCCACTTACATATTTGGAAAACTACAACAGTGATACTCTCTTTTGGGGGGGGCTTTTTCAGCCAAAATTATTTAATTAAATACCTTTTTAGCATATCATGTAGTTAATTTGAGATTTTAATCGATTGACAGCTCTAGTCTTTGCATGTGTGTCTAGTGTTTTGATAAATCATTCATGTTTCATGCGCTACATGTTTCACATCAGTCCGCTGCAGTTACTGTAGTTTACTTTCATAGGCGTCTTTCATCTATTAGACCTTCGCACGTCCATGTCCTGAATAATTTACCAGGTTTGTTCTTAGCCGCAAAGGATGAAGGTGGCAGCGCACACAGCCGTGAGACTACACAGGCAAACGGCTCAGTCGAGTGAGGTTTAATCGCTGGCTTTTTAGCCCGTGTGCCACGGTTTCACTGAGACTACAGAAAGAAAAAGTGCTCCCCTCGAATTTCCTCAGATGCCATTCTCTTTAAAGTTGAATCAGCCCTGTAGATGTTTGATTCTGGCCCTTAGCTAATTCTTCGCCGGCTCGCCTCAGATAGCTGCGGATAGCACTTAATTCAACTCGCCACATTTCTGAGTCTCTTTATTCTTCAGAGCGAGAGGAAAACGTTTAAACTCAGCCTCTTGTTTCGTAGTCTATTTTTAAGCCTCACGTGGACTGTATTGATTGTATCTCTAATGGTTAAAAAGGCAAAATAGCTTTGCAAAAAGAGGAATGAGCTGAGATGAATCATGCCGTCTCTCTTCAACTCAAACATTCCCACTCCTCCTCATTCTTTTAGTCATATTCCTTTTGATTCCCAGTCTCTCATCTCAGTCAATGTCTGTCTGTCTTTTCTTTTTGTAGATGAAGCTTTGGAACAAGTACAAGGTGACCAGTATTCCTTCTCTGGTGTTCATCGATGCTGCCACGGGGAAGGTGGTGTGTCGGAACGGCCTGCTTGTAGTTAGAGATGATCCAAAAGGTGAGTACTAGGCTTTAGTTTTTCACCCACTCAAGGGGTTTAAAGGAAAGCTCACCCAAAAATGAATACTCAGTTGCTATTAACTTGCCCACATGTTGTTCCAAACCCTTGTTGAACGCAAAAGGAGAATTATTTGAAGACTCTTCACAGATATCTGTGCTTTATAGTTTAAGCTTCAGAAATGGCACAAAAACACAAAAGATGAACCATAAAAGTTGTCCATGTGCTATTAGGGATGTAATGGTATGAAAATTTCTTATCACGGTTATCAGTATTATCACGGTATTGTTAAAATGTGCTGGAGATGTTCAAAAAGTACTGACACATAAATCACTTCAAGTTTTATATTTAAAAATCAACAAACAACAAATAAAATGACTTTTTGTTTGCATAATCACTAAAACAATAACATTACCAATGATGTTCGGATTTTAAATGACAACTTGACTGACAACAGTTTAATAGCATGTTCAAATATCTAATGTAAATGTTGAAATAAAGCTTTGAAAATGTTTCATAAAAAGGTAAACCTCACATTTCAGCCTTTAAATAAAGAAAAGATAAGTCAAAATGATAATTGATTCTAACCGTGGGGAATTTTATCATGATTTATCGGCAAACCGGTAATCGTTACATCCCTATGTGCTATATATATTTTAAAGCCAAAAGTATACTCAAGTTTTGACACGAAAGTATCAAAGCATATAGTGGAATGAATAGCCTTTCAAAGTTTACTCTATTTAATAACTTGCACAAACAAAGGCATTTGATGACATTCACACTAGAATGATTCATTCTTGTGCAGTGTCTGCGCTATTTATTTTCAGAAATTATGACGATAACATTTTTTTGTACAGTTGTGAGTATCTCTGAGCACACTTGCCAAGCATCCGCTGTTGTTGTTCCTCAAGTAATATGTTGTTGTTGTTGTTGTTGGTTTGTTTCTTGCGTTTCTTTTTTGACTCACATGTGCGAGCTGAGTGTACCGTGTACGAGACCAGTGTTGCCACCTTGTGGACAAACTAATTAGTGCAAAAAAATCATTGTTCGTGCTGAAAAAAAAGTCAAATTGCTAATACTGGGTGGAAACACCAATATGCGCATAAATTCTAAAAATGTGCATAAAAAACTTGTGCACAATATTGAGTTGGATAAACTTTTTATCCGATAAGAAAAAATGTGCATGAACTACGATGAAAACACATTTACCGAATAAATTCCTCAATACGCATCAAAAAAGTCATGTGATGGGATGAGATAACTTGACTAACCAGCGGACCGATCTCGTTGCACAGCATCTCAAATGTTGTTTTGGTCATTCTGAAATGCCTGAGCAAAGTCTATCATCAAAGTATTTCTGTATAATTGCCTCCCAGAACTGTCTTACACGACTGCGTTCCCAAACAGCAGCATCCACCTCCAAAAGCAATGACCGCATTTATTGTGTTTTGTCTGCTTGCTCTGAGGCGCAAGTCATTTACTATATATGAAAATTATTATATTCAGTGGCTTCTCCTACTTTTCTTAGTGATATTTTGTGCTAGTTTGTCATGAAGTGACGATTTTGTTCTCTTTGACTCGTTGGATGGAAACGGCACCTTATTTGCAAATGTTTTATGCGATATTCCAATTTTGTGCAAAAGTTAAATTCGCAACTTTGGATGGAAACATACCTCTTGATGTTTCTCATTTGTAAGTCGATTTAGATAAAAGTGTCTGCTAAACGAATGCGTGTAAATTGAGTCTTGAGAATTGGATATGTGAACTATTGTTTGTTTTGAGCTCATGATTGATTTTGATTGATATTGATTCTTCAGGTTGTTTGTGAATCTGACTAATTAGTTCTTGAATCAATTCAAGGACACAGTGATCTGGTCACAGTAATTCTTAAATTGACAGCTTAACAACTTGATATCTTTGAAAAAATATAGTGCACAAGTTGTATGGCCTGTTTTGTTTGTTTTTTTGTATGGACTGATGTTTTTTGGTCATTTTTGGAGCTTGACAGAGCTTAACATTGTCACTATGAACTGTCGTTGTCTGACCAAAAAGCACCATAAAAGTGGTCCATAGCCCATCTATTCCAAGACTTCTGAAGTCAAACGATAGTGTGATTAACAGACCAAAATTTGAGCTGTCGCCTCAAGAACAATGACCAAATCATTGACTCAGTGAGTTTGATTCATTCACATGAGCCAGTTCTTTTCAATACAAACGAATCTGAGCGATTCATTCATGAATCTGAGTTTACTGCATGCCTGCGTGAAAATTCTCCAAAACTACTGCTTTTGCGTTCCACAGAAGAAAGTTATACAGGTTTGGAATGACATGAGGGTGAGTAAGTCATTCATTTTGAGGTGAACTCTCCCTTTAACATGACTTTCACATGCTCAAAAATTCACATTGCATACTTGACTTGGCACCACGGTACATGGTTGTCCTTCACTGCTCTTCACCCGTCTGTATGGCAATGGTATTTGGAGAGCTCCAAGCGTTTGATAGCCCTCAGCTCGCTTGAATGATAAATTCACTGATAAATGTACCCACCAGTGAGCTGTCAACTCGAGAATCACTACAGCTGAATCAAGTTGAACTTAAGAACCAGATCAGTATATGAATCATTCCCTGATTTTTGATCACTCTGATCCAAATGTGAATTATTCCATGTTTTTTTTTTATTTTTTTTTTATGAAACTGATTGGTCCTATTTGCATATCAGACTGATTCATATATTAATATTTGCGATTGATTCAGTGAGTTGAACTGTAGAATTAGATTAGTAAATGAATCATTCACTGATTTTGATCATCCTGATCTGAATTCTGATCATTTTGGTTCTTTTCAGTAAACATATTCGTCCTGTATGCAAATCAGACTAATTTATCAATAATTCTTAGTGATTGATTTGTTTAGAACCAGATCAGTAACTGAATCAGTCACTGATTTTTGAACATTCTTATCTGAATTCTGATGAGTGATTGATTCAGTGAGTTGAACGTGAGAACCAGAGGGGTGAATGAATCATTCTGATCCGTATTCTGTTCATTTCTGTTCTTTTCAGTGAAGAGATCCTGTTCATGTTGGCAAATCAGACTGATTAATTCAGGAATCTGATTGATTCAGTCATGAATTTGGGTTCTATCAAATGACTGATTTGGTTGCTAATGATGGTAGATATTTTTAAATGGTTAATGTAATATTTAGGAGAAATAGAGGATGAACACCTCAACTCCAAAATTTCTGGTGCAATATGGGAAATGAAGCTTCCATCTCACATTAAGACCTGATATTTGCATCAACTCCCATTCGCGTTTGATATCCCTGTGCCATCAAGATCCAGAGGAGAGACTCTTGTATATTATAAATATATGAATGACATATGCATGTGCTGGCAGTGAAAGGAGGATTGTGTGACAGTAATCAGAGTCCTGGCTCTGCTCTGCTCCCACCCGTCCTGCAGGCCTGGAGTTCCCCTGGGGGCCAAAGCCCTTTGCGGAGGTGGTGGCCGGGCCCTTGCTCAGGAACAACCGACAGACAACAGACAGCAGTGCCCTGGAGGCATCCTATGTGGGGGTTTACTTCTCTGCACACTGGGTGAGTGCTTTGTGTTAGTGTTTCTAACCTAGCTGTACTTTGGAGACAAAAGCACAGTCGATTTAACCTTACAATCGGATCTCATATGTGAAACAAGAATTTTTGTTAAAAACGTATGTTTTTGTAAGAGTATCATTATAAATCGATTGCAATAGCAAAAATATGTTAGTAATTGTAATAACCAAAACCATGAAATAAAATGATATATTATGTATAACCTAGCCATACTTTGGAAATTAAATTGCAGCCCATACAATTGGATCTGATGTGCTGATTTTTGTTAAATACCATTTAATAATTAATTGCAATACCAAAATGATGTTATAGGGTTATTATAGTTAACTAAAACCATGAAAAAATAAAGCTTGAAATAAAATAAATGTTAACTGAATTAAAATAATATATGTGACCCTGGACCACGAAACCAGTCATAAGGGTCAATTTTTCGAAATTGAGATTTATACATCATCTGAAAGCTGAATAAATAAGCTTTCCATTGATGTATGGCTTGTTAGGAGATACAGCTATTTGAAAATCTGGAATCTGAGGGTGAAAAAAAATCTAAATATTGAGAAAATCGCCTTTAAAGTTGTCCAAATGAAGTCCTTAGCAATGCGTATTACTAATCAAAAAGTACAGTTTGACATATTTACGGTAGGAAATTTACAAAATATCTTCATGGAACATGATCTTTACTTAATATCCTAATGATTTTTGGCATAAAAGAAAAATCTATAATTTTGACTCATACAATGTATTTTTGGCTATTGCTACAAATATACCCCAGCGACTTAAGACTGGGTTTGTGCTCCACGGTCACATTTATAATTTTTTTTTTATTTCAGCTAGTTGGCAAGGCAGCATTTCTCATTTTAATTTAGTATAACTAAAACTAATACCATAAAAATGAAAATGAAAAAATAAAATAAAATAAATATCAGCTAAAATACAATATACAAATTAAAAATTCTTCTTTCGACTTGTTGCCAATGCAACATTTATCATTTTAAATTAGTTTGACTAAAAATAAAAATTAATAAAAACTATATAGACATGTTAAAAACTACTATAAATGACAACAAAAATTTTTACTAAAACTTTACATTTAAAAATGTTTATTTTATTCCATTTATGAAAATGGAATTTCAAATGAAATACTAAAATAACACAGGTTAGTAATTTGTATAAATCACAGAAACATTTTGAATAGAAAATAACCAAAAAATGACTCATGGTTCAGTGAGGGAGTCAGTATAATGACTCACTGAGACTGATTCAAACCTCTTTTCATGGATCTTCCTGATTTACTCTTTTAAAAGAACCATTTCATAAGAGTCATTTTTTCATGAATGGGTTATCAAAGCAGAGTGGTGTTACAGTGGGCACTTCTGTTACTCTTGGCTTTCCCGTCATATGAAGCCTTTTCCACAGAAACCCTGTTATTTCCCACTATAAAAGTCACTCACTCCTAACACTCAGGCCAGTACGTGACGTACTCATTCACATTCACAGAGGAGCGGTTCCTTGACTGACAGCGTTTCTCTTGGTTGTGGCAAACACGGGCAGCTTGTGCCAGTCCACAGGGCTGCAGCCACAGTAGCAGGAGCTTGTTTTTCCAGTTCCCCCCTTTTCCAAACCCAGACAAATTGTGAAGATGAGCCACAAAACCAGGCTATATATTTCAGTTTATTATTCCAGCACCGCATTCCTCGTTCCTAACCAGTGTAAAGTGAACCTCTATTAAAGTGACTTTTATAAGACTAAGTGTGCCTGGACGTATTGTTTCCGTTGATATACTAATGCCACTTTTTTCTCCATTTGAAAAACGGCCTCAACTGACCTCAAGGAAACAGAGGGAGAGCTTGTAGCTTGTTGTATTTGTTAATATTTTATTTTAGATGGGCTGGGAAAATACAAGAGGCCGGAGCAGCAACAGAACATACTGTACGTTGGAATGTTTGTCGAATGTGCGCCACATTAATTTCCAGTTAGAAGTCTTTGTTTATCTTAATGGGAGTGATGTTTAGTTTTTACTTTTGTACAGACTAAAATTGTGTATGAAGTCTGATTGGTCAGCTCATGAATATGAATACCTTAAAGGAATAGTTCACCCAAAAATGAAAATTCTGTCATCATTTACTCACCCTCGCATTGTTTCAAACCTATGTGAGTTTCTTTCTTCTGTGGAACATAAAAGAAACATGTTAATAACCAATAAGTTTCAGTTCCTATTTACGTCCATTGTATTTTTTGACCATACATAGTCAATGGGAACCAAAATTGTATCTGCTTTCATGTTTTATACCACAGTGAAATGAAAAGAATGCAGGTTCACAACAACATAAAATAAAAAATAAAAAATTTTAACTCATTTGGCTGATCCATACTGTATGTCATCTTTTGAAAGTCAACATTTTTGGTTGTAACCTTATAAAACATTTATAAATTCACTGTTTATTTCATTTTGTGGCGTTTGTGTTGCTGGTACATTCTGATGATCAATTTTCAGATATTTTATTATCAATCACAGTTACTTTTACTATTAAATTAAATTTTATTTAATCATTACTCTCCACATAATTGCTGTTAAACTATATATTATATGAAACTGTAAACAGTATATTATATGAGTCAGTAAGATATGTTTTTAATAGTTTTTATTCAGCAAGGATGCCTTAACCTCATCAGAAGTGACAGTAAAGACATTTTTAATGTTACAAAAAGAGCTCTTGCTGTCTAATATATGCTGATAATTAGGCCTAGACGAAATCTGACTTTTTTAATCGCATTGTCTTAGCTGATGTTTTGAGGAAAATCTGTGGAATGGATTTAATTATGGTAAATGAGTACTACACGCATACTGGTAGCTGGAAGCATTAATCAGATCCACCTAAATATTTGATAGAGAAAGCCAGAAGGGCCGGAGGATGTTTAAACACTGTGAATGGCAGGCGTTTGAGTTCTGCATAAATCTGCTGAGCTTTCGTTCAGTGTGGGCCTGCCGGTATTCAAAGTCTACGCGGGGCTGGAGAGCTCTTGAAGAGAGCTGAGTGAAGCATGTCAGGCTGAATGTAGCACTCTTGTGAAAAGAGAAAATCATGCAGCACAAAATGCCTCCAAGCCATAAAAGACAGGATGAGTTTAAAAGCTCTACCAGGTCCTAGTCACATTTGTTTTGTTTTGTTTTTCTTGGGGTGCTGAACTGCAGGGAGAGTAATATTAAGTGCTCTGGGCGCTCACTAGGCCACTAAGTGCTGTTTATTATCAGAAACCCTTTAGGAGATCTCGCTATAACTTATGTATGTGTTTATGTGTGTGTTTTATTTCACAGTGTCCTCCTTGTCGCAGTCTAACCCGAGTGTTGGTGGAATCGTACCGGAAAGTGAAAGAATCAGGGCACAAATTTGAGATTGTGTTTGTCAGTGCTGATCGGTAAGAAACACAGATCACAATTTCACAATTTATAATATATATATATATATGTATATATATATATATATATATATATATATATATTTATTTTTATTTTTTATTACAACAGCGATGGAAGAAAAGAAAAAAAAACTTGGACAAACCATTCACTCTTGTTCAATGCGAATGCCGTATGCTGGAATATGAGCAGTCATTTATTCCGTCATCGCCCGCACAGATGAGACTTGAACAGCACACGTTGATATCTGTTTTTAAGCTAAACTCATTTAAGCTTTGCCAGTTTAAACATTTAAGAGCAAGAGGATGTGAGCTTGCACGCGCAGTGAGAAGATCTGTGCGTGCGCTCATCCAAAGCGCGCAAACCCGCGCCTCAGAACGTGCGCATATATTAAGCTCTCTCTGAAGTATTGTGTTTAAATGGACAAATTCACACAAAAATTATGTCAAAATACCTGTCTTGGTAAGTGTCCTATAGCAGACATAGCCGGCTGAACGTACTTAAGTGTCTTAAAGTGACAGCATTTTCTTAATATTAATCAAACAGCAACAACAAAGAAATCACTCACTGCTCTTGATTGAATAGCTTTTGTAACTTTGATAAAGATTAATCTTTAGTTTATACAGTCACATATGCAATACTGTTTTACATTTCATTACTTTATTCAATTTCTGTACCTGAAAACTAATGTTAGACCTACCTAAAAAAAAAACTGAAAATCACTATTTATTTTATTTGTATCTTTACTCTATTGTATTTGTTTGTGCTGTTGCTTGTAGTTAAGATAGATTGTTATTTTCTTTATTTTTATTTGACAGTATAGTTTTTCCCTAAACATAGCACATACTGAACCGTACCGAAACCGTGATACAAACCGAACCGTGAGTAAGTTGAACCGTTCCACCCCAATATATTATATATATATATATATATATATATATATATATATATATATATATATATATTTATTTTTATTTTTTACAATTTTTATATCATAACATTTCTTTGTTTTCATATGTTGAAAATCCTAAAAAAAAAAAAAAAAAATTCTAGTTCTTTTACAAGTTTAAGTTGAATCTTTTACATTTTGTAAATAGTCAGTGTGGACTAAAATAAAAAAAATAATTTATATACACTTTCACTAGAGATGCCCTAATTATTAACATTCTGATTGATAATTATTTTCACCTAATGATAACTGATAAATAGGCAAAATGTAAAGTAAAACTTCTGTATTTTGTCTCAATAAATAAAAAAATAAAACACTAAAAACAATGATTTAAATGCTACAAGTGAATTTTGACATCACAACATTATAACGTTCAGCATGAAAAATGTATATGAATTTAGAGATTTGCTTAAGATTACTTTTACCAGTGTGTGTGTGTTATTCAATTATTTATTAGGTGTTTTTAAAGATTAACTTTTAAGTGAGCTTTAGATAATGGCAAAGGCAATCTAAATGTAAAATAGGGTATATGAGCACAATTAAAAATCCAGCATCAGTCCATATACAGATATATACAATATCAACTGATAGCAATAAATTAAAAATCTCTAATATTGGCCATTAACTCGCACCAATATATTGTGCATTCTTAACTTCCACACATAATATCAGCTATATTTGCTGCTTATTTCCAATAATTATTTGATTATTTTAAAGTTGGAGGACACTTTAAACATGCAATGAAGATTGAAACACCTTGTGTCTTGCGTTGTAGGTCAGAGGAGTCATTTACGCGGTATTTTAGTGAGATGCCGTGGTTGGCGGTGCCATACACAGACGAGGCCAGACGGTCACGACTCAACAGACTCTATGGAATCCAAGGTACGTCTGTGGACTTTAACTCTGGCTCAGGTGGAAGTGCGTGTGGTTGGCTGTAGCTGGATAAAGCTGACCCTGCCAGGAACTGCAAACTGAGCTGTAGGACCTCAGGAATGTGGGCGGCTAATCAAGTTTACTTTACTATTACTGTTCCCCACCGCTCCCTCTCTCTGGATGTCGCTCGCGCTCAGTATAAGTAACAATTCTGAAAACATGGTTTTTAAAGGGTTAGTTCAACCAAGAGCCAAGATTCTTTAATCATTTACTCACTCTTAATGTTGTTCCAAACCTGTACGACTTATTGACTTACTGTATTTCTTCTGCAGAGCACAAAAGAAGCATTCTGAAAAGTATTTGATCTGTTTCTATTCATATAATGGAAGTCAATGGGGTCCAAAACTACACTGGACCAACAGTGACGTTCACTGTATGGACACTGAGACATTGTTCATAATATCTTCCTCCTTTGTATATCACAGGAGGAAGAATGTAAATCATGCAAGTTTTGAATGACGTGAGGGTGAATAAATAATGACAGAATTTAAATCTTTAATATAAATCTTTCTGCTCTAATTAGCTGCAACCGCAACAAATGTCACAGAGTGAGTAAAATGGTGATAAATTCTGACTGTTTTAGCCCCAAATAACTCTGGTCCAGCTATCATATGACCCCTTTAGCAGTCAGAAAAGTCTCTTTCGTTTTGCTTTCGTCTCTTCTTCATTGGGAGTTGATGCATTGAGAGGGAAAGTACTGGCTTCAGGCCTATCCGGTCTGGAATGTGTGGAATTCATCTTGGATGATTTGATACTGACTCCCCCTCCCTCTTCCTCCAGCCTGAAGTCGCTGTGTGAGTCTGATAAGGCCACTAATACTGCAGTCTGATTTCTATCTCAAAGAGGGTTTGAGAGAGGACGGCTGTACAGAGAGATCAGTGTGACCACAGGCCGCCTGACTGTGGCTTTGTGTGCTGGTGTTGTGCTTAGGGTGTGGACAGGCCCGTAACCAGCTATGAGGCCACCGAAGTCCGGACCTTTTCATGTTCAAAAATAACATTTGTTCTTTGAATGACTAATTTGCTGCTAAACTCCTCATATGAATGCCTGCATGACATGTATAATTCAGTTTAGACAGTTTGCAAGAATGTTTAGCATCCCTGGTATGATAATGATCGCTGCGAGACGCTGGCGGAGTGAATGAGTCTTGAGAGCAGGGTTGCCAGGTTTTCATAAGAAAACCCACCCAGTCGCTACTCAAAACTAGTCCAAAACTAGCCCAATGGCGTTTTGAGGGGGCTCCCCTGCTAAAATTCGCATTCCAGGGGATAAATATCAAGTTATTGGAGTCGCTTCAACCCGTAGCAACAGTGTTAAAGCGGGAAAGCGGGGGGAAACCGCGGACTTGGCAACACTGCTTGAGAGCGTTGTGAGTGAGGGCGCGGGCGCAGCCTCGTGTTGCCAGATCCAGCTATTATAAGCGTTTTTGGACTTGTCTTTTCCACTTAATTTAACATTTTATAAAGTTAATAAAGTAGGAAGTTGCAGTTTAGAGTCAGCGATATCTTTATCTTATCATATTTGCAAAAGATTGGAAATAATTTCGGTTTATTTTATTTATTTTTAGTTTTTTGTTTGTTTTAGTATCAATATCTGGCAACAATGCTGGCAACAACAAACACTTAAACTGAAAGCAATCAAAAAAGCCCATGGACAGGTTTTTGCTGACAAGATACGGCATTCGGTGAGGGAAACGCAAAAATTATCATGATATTATCTGTCAAAAACAGTAGAATTGAACACTAGTACACACAGATCTGTAGAACAAGTAGGTTACAGAATGAAATGAAATACACACACTAGCCATGAAGTCTGTCATTCAGTATAGTTAAATTTTCACAAATCATGCTATAAACTCATAAGAGCACTAGACAAAGTTATTGTAGTTATGTATTGTTGCAATAAACAACTGATAAAATTATCCACACTTAAATATAGTAAAGTATTAACAAATTTTGATGCAATAAATAGGGTATGATTTAAAAATAATCAACCCTCCAAAACAGAGAAAACATCTTTCACAAACATCTACCCTTTAAAGTGTTTATAGTGTATATAATGAGTTGTATTTGTAGGGGTTATTATAACAATATTATAACAATTCTTTAACACCAACCCCCATCATCATCGTCATCCAAAAAAAAAAAAAACAATTGACAATTTTTTTTCAAGCAATAAAACATATCGCTAACATTTTACAATAGGTTTAACAGAATTGTAAATTAGTGTAAATTTTAGAATAAGTCTGATACTTAACATTTAAAAGTAGTACATGTTAACAATATTCATTATGAACTAACCTGAACGATAGAACACTACTGTTTAAAATTTGGGGTTGATAAGATTTTTTGAAAGAGTATTAATGTACATAAATTAATGTTTTTGAAAGAAGTCTCTTGCGGTCACCAAGGCTTAATTTATTTAATAAAAAAATACAGTAAAAACAGTAATAGTGTGAAATATTATTACATGTTAAAATAGCTGTTTTCTATTTGAATATATTTTAAAATGTAATTTATTCCTGTGATGCAAAGCTGAATTTTCAGCATCATTACTCCGGTCTTCAGTGTCACATGATCCTTCAGAAATCATTCCAATCTGCTGATTTGCTGCTCAAGAAACATTTCTTATCATTTATTTGAAATTGAAATCTTTTGTAACTTTATAAATGCACGTCCTGTCACTTTTGATCAATTCAGTGCATCTTTGCTGAATAAAATAATCAAGTTCTTTAGACATTTTGAATGGCAATGTATATCTATTAATACATTTGATTGATTAGATGAACATTGTAGGCTTGAATCCTATAATGAAACTAAATTACAGCCAATTAGAACCTCTTTGATGTTTAATACATTTATTGTGTGATTTATTACATTTTAATGTAATTTATTTCTTGTGGCATCATATCTTGGCATTAAAGAAGTATAAAGAATATTGTTATACACAGATTTTTGTTGTTGTTTAACCTTTCCCAGGTATTCCCACACTGATTTTACTGGACGCAGAGGGTCACATGATCACGCGACAGGGGCGGGTGGAGATTCTCAATGACCCCGACTGTCGGCTCTTCCCGTGGCACCCGCGACCCGTTCTGGAGCTCAACGAATCCAACGCCGTGCAGCTACATGAAGGGCCCTGCCTGGTTCTGTTCGTAGGTGAGATGATGCTTTGAGATCATTGCAGAGGAGCACTCAAAGCCTATTGACTCTTCACTTCCCTTTTCTTACTACAATGCTCATTCATCATCTTTCTGCCCTCATCATTCCTCTTCCTCTGTTATCTCATTGTTTTTTTTACCTCTCATTTAGATGCTGAGGAAGAGGGAGAGCTGGAGCCGGCCAAGGAGCTCATCCAGCCAATCGCAGAGAAGATCATGGCCAAATACAAGGCAAAGGAGGAAGAGACGCCACTGCTCTTTTTTGTTGCTGGAGAGGTATGTTTGTCCATTTATGTGAGTAATCGAACAATTAGGTGAAGTTCTTCCAAAAATGAAAGTTTGTCATTTATTTACTTAATTTACTTCAATATAAACAATGGTTCAGATCTTTCATTGAATCAGTTTCGGTCTGAATGAATCAAACTGATTATTTTTGCTTTGCTTAACTTTGTTTTGCATTGTTTTGTGTCTTAATTATATATCTTACAGGTTATGACATTGTCAACCCAAGGCACTCGCAGCTGCTGCCAGCAATTTAGTGTGAAAAAAAAAAAATAATAATAATAATGATATTAATAATAATAATAATAATTATGTATGTTGGTCACATTATTATTTTAAAATATATTTACATATTATTTACATATATTATTTTACATTATCATATTGCATATCGAATTACGCATAACACATTATCGCACAACACGTTTTTCTTCAGTATCATGCGGCCATATTTAGGTCTTTCGGTCAAATAAATCTAACATATCACTTCAGGAGACTTAGAATATAGTGCACAAGTTGTATAGACTACTTTTATGGTAATTTTATGGTGCTTTTGCATAAATTCCATCATCATTGAAGCTTTAAAGTTTCAGTCCCCTTTTATTCTAATGCATAAATGCAAGAGCAATCAGTGCATTATTTAAAATTCAACCTTTCGAAAAAGAAAAGGTCATACAGGTTTGCAACGACATAAAAGTGAGTAAATGATGACAGATTTTCCAGTCTTTGGATGAACTGTTTCTTCAAGGCTTTATTGAGTGAGATTTTTAAAACCTTTTTTTTCTTCTATGCCACAACAATCAGAATGTTTGCTTGCTTTTACACACAAGTGTGATGTGCCATCTGTTTCTGTATATTTGTGTAAAACAATCCTTCGGGATTGCGGCCTCCAATCACCAACATGTACATGCAGTAAATAAAAGGAGCTGCAGTTGAATGGCAAGCACATGTAGCACAAGCCTGAAATCCAGAGGGTGCCAAAACAGCTGTGCCCTTCTCTCTCCCCCTCCCTCGATTTTTTTTCATCTCCCTGATCACCTCTTCATCTTTCAAGCCTGCATGCCAAGAGGGAGGAAAGCCAACATTTTCATAACTCTTATCTCCTGTTTTCTCTTTGTGACCTTTGCGGAAATCATGTAGAGAGTGAAGGCAGCCTGTAATTAATAGACGATTAGCCTCCCCTTTCTTTCTTTCCCCTTCTCACTTTAACTTTCTTGCCACCATTCAGTCTTTCTGTGTGTGTGTGTGTGTGTGTGTGTGTGTGTGTGTGTGTGTGTGTGTGTGTGTGTGTGTGTGTGTGTGT